CACACATAAAGAATTTAGTAATTTCCATAGTTAGCTATTGTCTTGGCAAGACTTAATTTCTCTGTGCCTCAGTTGTCTCCTCTGTAAAATGGGTTAACACACACAAAGAATTTAGTAATTTCCATAGTTAGCTATGTTAAAAATTTGGGTTTGCATCCCAGCTCTGTCACTTTCCATGACCCTAGGACATGAGATTCTACATTGCTGAGAGTTATTTCCTCATCTGTAAAATGAGGATTAGAATCCTCATCAGGTGGGGTTCGGGTGGGGAGTCACACGAAGCTGCTAGTGCTGTTGGCTCATCACTGCAAAGCACTTACTGTTCCCCACGTGGATTTGAGGGATCTGGGGGCTCCTTTGTGAGACACTGAACTAGGGAAACAATCCACTGCTCACCTAGGAATGTTTGTTAACCCCTTATTTCCCATCACGTGCTAATGGCTGGGTACACAGATGGACAATACTCCTGAGAACATTTTTGAAGTTTCTCCAGTCTCCAGTGTCTACCTCCCTTTCAACGCCTGCAAAGATCATTACTGCTTCCTGGTTCTGCCACTGCTGCTATCCGCACTGTGACTGGCCATCATGTTCCACACCCCACTGGGTGCCGGATCCTGTGCCAAGCAGTTGCAGCGTGCTGGCCACTACTTCCACCCCAGGCGACCATTCTCACAGGGCCGGCCAGTTGCAGTAGCCTTCTCACTTCCAGGTTGCTTGCCTCCACTCCTGCCCCCTACAGTCCTTTACCTACTAGCAGCCAATGCAACACTTTCAAGACACTAATCAGATGTCATCCTGCTCAAAACCCTCTGAGTCCCATTAAGAATAAAACCCAACCTTGTTACAAGGCCCTGCATGATCTGGCCCTTGCCCACCGCTCCGATCTCATTTTCTGCTCCTCCCCCTTGCTCGCTACATGCCAGCCACATTGGGCTTATTCTCCCTCAAGGACATTCCTCCTTCACCAACTTGTTATGTGATAGTTTTTCTACCTGGAATATATTCTCCCCCCCACCCCCCCATCTCCTGCATTTCTGGCTTTCCTTCACATCTTTACTAATCTCTGTCTGAAATTGTCTTAAGTATCAGAGACTGAGGATAGCCATCGTGTCCCCCTCTAAATCTCCACTAGGTGAGCACTAGGGATTTGACTTAATGCCTGTGTANCTTGGCAAGACTTAATTTCTCTGTGCCTCAGTTGTCTCCTCTGTAAAATGGGTTAACACACATAAAGAATTTAGTAATTTCCATAGTTAGCTATTGTTGTTAAAAATTTGGGTTTGCATCCCAGCTCTGTCACTTTCCATGACCCTAGGACATGAGATTCTACATTGCTGAGAGTTATTTCCTCATCTGTAAAATGAGGATTAGAATCCTCATCAGGTGGGGTTCGGGTGGGGAGTCACACGAAGCTGCTAGTGCTGTTGGCTCATCACTGCAAAGCACTTACTGTTCCCCACGTGGATTTGAGGGATCTGGGGGCTCCTTTGTGAGACACTGAACTAGGGAAACAATCCACTGCTCACCTAGGAATGTTTGTTAACCCCTTATTTCCCATCACGTGCTAATGGCTGGGTACACAGATGGACAATACTCCTGAGAACATTTTTGAAGTTTCTCCAGTCTCCAGTGTCTACCTCCCTTTCAACGCCTGCAAAGATCATTACTGCTTCCTGGTTCTGCCACTGCTGCTATCCGCACTGTGACTGGCCATCATGTTCCACACCCCACTGGGTGCCGGATCCTGTGCCAAGCAGTTGCAGCGTGCTGGCCACTACTTCCACCCCAGGCGACCATTCTCACAGGGCCGGCCAGTTGCAGTAGCCTTCTCACTTCCAGGTTGCTTGCCTCCACTCCTGCCCCCTACAGTCCTTTACCTACTAGCAGCCAATGCAACACTTTCAAGACACTAATCAGATGTCATCCTGCTCAAAACCCTCTGAGTCCCATTAAGAATAAAACCCAACCTTGTTACAAGGCCCTGCATGATCTGGCCCTTGCCCACCGCTCCGATCTCATTTTCTGCTCCTCCCCCTTGCTCGCTACATGCCAGCCACATTGGGCTTATTCTCCCTCAAGGACATTCCTCCTTCACCAACTTGTTATGTGATAGTTTTTCTACCTGGAATATATTCTCCCCCCCACCCCCCCATCTCCTGCATTTCTGGCTTTCCTTCACATCTTTACTAATCTCTGTCTGAAATTGTCTTAAGTATCAGAGACTGAGGATAGCCATCATGTCCCCCTCTAAATCTCCACTAGGTGAGCACTAGGGATTTGACTTAATGCCTGTGTACAAGAGTCAACTAGTCATTTGCACCATGAGGCAGGTCTTAGCCTTACAGTACATGTGAGGAAACTGAGGAAGGCTCCATCTCAGCCATGTTGAGAATATTAATTGAAAAAAATCACTGCCAGCTCCTGTGGCCCTCAATGTTTTTTGAAAATGTTATGTAATGCAAGTACATATTATAATAATATAAAGATGTGCCATAGCTGGTCTCATGTCTTTAAAGATCAGTGGAAAGAGCATAGGCTCTGGAGCCAGGTAAAAGTACCTCTTGCTACCTGCAACATCTTGAACAAGTTCCCTCCTTTTTGAGCCAGTCTCTCCATTTATAAAATGGGGACAATACCTAAATTAGAGCTGTTTTTGAGGAAAATGAAGAACATATTAAAGATGGAGGGACTCTTGCTCTCTAGGATTTAGACTGTATCAGCAGAAATTCAAATAGACTGGGTCAGCAAGAATTTGCAAAGCTTAACCACAAACCACAGACTTCCTATTGAGTTACCTAGGAGATGGGGAGGTGTGAGAGGGGCTTACAGCTGGCTAAAACATATATAATACACGTTTGCAGACAATAAATTTGCTTAGTGCGTGCACTAAGCCTCAGAACTTTGTGTCTGGTTTCTGGTTGCCCACCTCCCTAGGTGGCAGCCCCTAGCTCAAGGCGTGCCCTGAGCAACTCACCTCACTGCACTCTTTTGGCAGGGCTGCATGCGGCCCTGCTCCCTGGGAGTTTCCTGGCAGAGGCTACATATAGTCCTGCCTCCTGAGACCCCCCCAGAACCAAGAGAAAGGTGCACTGTTTTAGATCCAATATGAGAAATCCTAGCACAATGCCTGACGTGCAGTAAGCAGGCATTGATATTAGTTCTCTCTACTAGTCACAATTACCCAGAAAGGGAAATTTTCATTCTTCCTGGCCATCTGTCATATGCAGGGCACTCGGGTGGGTGCTGACCACAGTGAGCAAACCAGGCATGGTCCCATACCCACCAGAATGTTCAACCCACAAAAGCAGGTGCCATGCCCACCTCGCTCACTGTTGTACCCAGGACAGTACCAGGCACATAAGACACTCAAAATATACTTGATTGGAAATTACAAGGAGGAAAAGTATTTTATTATACCCACATACCCACATACCCACCTTCTTTCAAAAAAGAAATTGAGGCTGGGCAAGGTTAAGAGCTAGACACCGGTACTTTGCATCCTAACTCAGTTTTCCTGCACCTTAAACCACTTTATCAAACATCAATCATTCACAAGCCATTTCACCACTTCTGCTCTACCTACTGCCTGTGATACAAATCAACTCACTTTTTTACCTATATAACCTTAAAAGTTATATATCAATCACTTGTCTTAACTAGAAGGTAACCATAAAAACACAGAGCAATAAAAATAAAAACAATGTTAACATAAATTTCAGTTGCCTGAAAGCTATAAGCCTTTTTTTAAAAAAGAGAAAACCGGAGTTAGATTTTTTTTTTTATCATGACCCTGAAAAAGAAATATATTTTACATCAAAACCCAGTACACACTCTTGTCTATATATACATTTGAAACAAGTTTCATAAAACAATACACTGATATTTTCTAGTCTATGATTCTATTTCACTTTTTTAAT